TTTGGGCCTTGCTTCTGTAAAGATTGACAGACTTGTAGACCCTGTGGGGCAGTTCCACTCTGTCCTCTAGGGGCGCTGTGAGTCAGAATGGACTCCACGGCAGTGGGTTTGGTTTGGGCTTTGCTTCTGTAAAGATTGACAGCCTTGGAGACCCTATGGGGTGTTTCTACTCCATCCTGTTGGGTCCCTGTGAGTTGGAATTGACTCACAGTTTCCGTTTTTTCGGTTTAGGGTTGTTTTAGAAACATCAGTGGTGTACTGGTTAAGCACTCAGCTGGTAAACAAAAGTTCAGTGGTTGGAAGCCCCCAGCTGGTCTATGGGAGAAAGGTGCGGCAACCTACCCCCACAAAGATTTACAGATTGAAATCCTATGGACGGTTTGACTCTGTCCTCTGGAGTCCCTGTGAGTCAGAATCGAGTCAATGGTTTAGGGTTGTTTTGAAGGTCCTTGGTTGGCACAAGTGGTTTGCACTGAACGATTAACCTAAAGGTTGGTGGTTCAAACCCACCCAGGGCCCCTGTGGAAGAAAGGCCAGTGTGCAGCACAGTGCCTGGGGTCACCAGGTCGGAGCTGACTTGCTAGTAACAGGTTTGGTTTGGGTTTGGAGGGTTGTTTTAAATATCCAACAAGTTAAATCACAGACCCTTGCGAGGAGAGGGCCATGAATCAGCAATGGCCCCTGTTCTTCCAGTACCTCCTCCTCCCCCAGGTCCTCACGTGGCTTTTCCTCCTCCAGGAAGCCCTCCCTGACCACCCCAGGCTGGGTCAGGTGCCTCCTTTGGGCTTCCCATCCCAGACCGACCACTCTAGGGACACGTCTTTGTCTCTGAGGGCCGAGCAGGAGCTGTGTCTGCCACCGCTGCGTCCCCAGCTCAGAGCAGGCAGCTGGTGGGCAGGGGGGTGCTTCCTGAAAGACTGACACCCTCTCCATACAGTGTCACAAACCATAACTCACACTTGCTGACACTTATACCGTACATCCAGTGGCTGTATATATATTTTTTAAAAACCCAGTTTTATTGAAGTATAATTCACATGCCATAAAGAGCATCCATTTCAGGAGTAGAGTTTGATCCAGGGCACTGTTTTAAGGACATTATGTATGTTCATTTGTTTATATTCATTTTCCCAACTGCCCTGAGAAGCCCTTCCTGTTATGATTTCCATTTTACAGAAGAAGAAACAGGTTCAGGGAGGTTGAGTGACTTGCCCAAGGTGACACAGCGCCTGGGGGCAGAGCAGGGACTCGAACCTGGCTCTCCCCGGCTGCCAAGTCAGGGGTCTCAGTGGCACCCTCCACTCTCCTGAGCAGCAGTTGTTGAATGCATTTGGGAAAGAGTGAGTGAACAAGCTAAGGCACAGACGGACAGAGAGATGGCTTGAATGAATACGTGAGTGAGGACATGAACGGTGAAAGGAATGAAGGAAGGAAGGAACACAGGAGCCGGCCACCGGGATGAGTGCTGTGCGCGGGCAGGGGCCCTGTGTGTGGGCCTACAGTGGAATCCTCAGCTCTTGGGACGGGCCTGGCACCCAGAAAGCTCTCGGTAAATAGTGTTACATTTGGAGGTGACATGCAAAATATTTACCATCCGCTTCAGCGAGGACATAGCCAGGCCAGGCATGAATGCTTTAGTTGTTGGGTTATGAGGAAGCTGGAGGGAGGAGGAGGGGTCTTGGGGAAGGGCTTGGGTCTTGAAGGGCACTTGGGGGATTAGGCCGTCTGGAGACTCATGAGGGTCCCTTAAGAAACACGTCATTGTTCTAACAACCTGTAGTTTCTTACCAGGAGCTCTGGTGGCATAGTGGTGGAACCATCTGACTGCTAACCAGAAGGCTGGCGGTTCAAACCCACCAGCCACTGCTCGGAAGGAAGGTTAGGCAATCTACTTACATATCGATACCACCTCCGAAACTCAAGGAGGGGTTGCTATGAGTCGGATCTGACTCGATGGTAGTGAGGTTTTTTTTTTTTTTTTTAATATCTGAAAGAATGAATGAAAACGGTGTGTGTGTGTGTGAGAGAGAGAGAGAGAGAGAGGTCTGAACTCCTCTCCCCCAGCCAGAAGGCTCCAGGAGCTGCAACCAAAGTGATGGGTGAAATTCTGGGGGCCGAGGGGCAGGGCAGTGGTGCCCACTTGGACCTGGGCTATCTCATGTGGGCAAGGACTTTCTCAGTTAACAACCTGGACACCCGTACAGACCACGTGCGGTTCAAAGGAACGCATGCGCTGAACGGCTGGGGGCGGGGCCGACGGCCGCCTCTGAGCCCGCCCTCTCCCGCACCACGCAGGCCTGAGCCCTTGCTCTCTCGCCCCACCCAGGCTACGACTTCCCGGCGGTGCTGCGCTGGTTCGCTGAGCGCGTGGA